CTACTGGGATGGACTACTGGGATGGGCTACTGGGATGGACTACTGGGGCTGGGATGGGCTACTGGGATGGGCTACTGGGATGGGCTACTGGGATGGGCTACTGGGATGGGCTACTGGGATGGGCTACTGGGATGGGCTACTGGGATGGACTACTGGGGCTGGGATGGGCTACTGGGATGGGCTACTGGGATGGGCTACTGGGATGGACTACTGGGGCTGGGATGGGCTACTGGGATGGGCTACTGGGATGGGCTACTGGGATGGACTACTGGGGCTGGGATGGGCTACTGGGATGGGCTACTGGGATGGACTAACTGGGGCTGGGGGGATGGGCTTACTGGGATGGGCTACTGGGGGATGGGCCCTACGGGATGGACTACTGGGGGCTGGGATGGGCTACTGGGATGGGGCTACTGGGGATGGGCTACTGGGATGGGCTACTGGGATGGACTACTGGTGATGGGACTAACCTGGGATGGGCTACTGGGAATGGGCTACTGCGGATGGGCATACTGGGATGGGCTACTTGGGATGGACTTACTGGGATGGGCTACTGGGATGGGCTACTGGGATGGGCTACTGGATGGGCTACTGGGATGGGCTACTGGGATGGGATACATGGGATGGACTTACTGGGATGGGCTACTGGGATGGGCTTACTGGGATGGACTACTGGGGCTGGGATGGGCTACTGGGGGCTTGGGGGGGGCTACTGGGGGCGCCTGGGATGGGCTACTGGGATGGGCTACTGGGGATGGGCGCTACTGGGGATGGGTACGGGCTACTGGGGCTGGGATGGCTACTGGGATGGGCTACTGGGGTATTGGGGCTTACTGGGATGGGCTACTGGGATGGGCTACTGGGATGGGCTACTGGGGCTGGGATGGGCTACTGGGGCTGGGATGGGCTACTGGGATGGGCTACTGGGATGGGCTACTGGGATGGGCTACTGGGATGGGCTACTGGGGCTGGGATGGGCTACTGGGATGGGCTACTGGGATGGGCTACTGGGATGGGCTACTGGGATGGGCTACTGGGATGGGCTACTGGGATATGGTAGGCTCAGCTGGGAAGTGAAATAGAAAGGGGAGGGTCAGTTGTGGGTTACAAAAAGTAAACAAACTCCACTGTAGTGATAATGGACTAGGTCACTAGGATATAGTGCTTAACTGGGGAACAAGACAGAGGGTGTCAGTTTGCTGTGCCGCAACGGTCTTCATTTGTTCATTCAAGGACATAATGGCCACTGCAATGCACAGTGACAGGATACAGATGCAAGTTCACAGACCGGGAGACAACACAGAGGGTTCGACTATGGGGCTTGACATACCAGGGTGCTCTATTCCCTGCACTATAGGGAGATACAGACTGCATGGTAACACGTGTTTCACTTCTCATTCATGACAAAGTGACTGTTTTGTTTACCTTTTATTTAAAAACCAAATTAGCTGTTGGTGAATGGCTGTAAACACACATGAGGGATGAGTGCCATTTCTATATACTGTAGCTAGTTCACAAGGTAAATAGCTGGCTAGCTAATAGTAGTAAGTTATAAACTTGTTGGACACTGGATGAAATAGCTAGCTAGTTGTTATGTGTGCAGACAGGATAGACAGATTCCCTGACAGGCAAGAACCGTGATGTTATCCAGAAGGCAAGGGTACTGGAGTCAACCAATGGACGTAGCTAGCAAAGGTTAGCTTTCTAGCTAATTAAACAAACGCCTGTGTAAACTAAACTTATTTCCTTCGAAGACGAAGCTCACACTTTATTCACAACAATAACTACTGGGCAAATATTCAATGACGTTGTGATTCTCATTCAAAATGTAATTCAACAACTCAGAACTGACTCACCTTCGAAAACGTGCAATGCGGGTCGTCACTAGTTACCACAGCCACAAAGTCATAAACCCCGCCCATTTCTGCAATTTATCTTCTTAAAATTCGATTTTAAAACCTAACCTTAAACACACTCACACTGCTAACCTTAAATTAAAACCTAAATATATTTCTAGGTTACCCCTTCTGTCCGTGGCAGGACGCTGTAATTTCTGTGTGACATGATAATCCCGCCTCAAATCCAATCCTTACATCGCATTCGATGATAACGTTTTCCTTTGAGCTAGGGCGACACTCAGCGCTCATAGTGAATAAAACATTACACAACATTGAAAAAAATATTGCAGAAAGCCTGAGATTAAAAAAAAATATGCGAACAAATATTTGGATAAAAACAAGACATTTCTACTACTGTACATTGCATTTTAATTACACTGTTTGTACACACTGCATATTTATTTATATACTGTATTATTTTTCAACAAGATGGCGCCAACAGACATCGTCGCCCTGTTTATAGGGCCTAGCCAACTTTGCAGTATTTTTGGGGGAGGGATGATATTTCTTATACTGAACAAAAACATAAATGCAACATGCAACAATTTCAAAGATTTTACAGTTATAGTTCATATAGGCCCTAATCTATGGATTTAACATGACTGGGAATACAGATATGGATCTGTTGGTCACAAATACCTTATGCAGCGCGACACATCTCTTTCCCATAGAGTTGATCAGGCTGTTGATTGTGTCCTGTGGAATGTTGTCCCACTCCTCTTCAATGGCTGTGCGAAGTTGCTGGATATTGGCGGGAACTGGAACATGCTGTTGTACACATCGATCCAGAGCATCCCAAACATGCTCAATGGGTGACATGTCTGGTGAGTATGCAGGCCATGGAAGAACTGGGACATTTTCAGCTTCCAGGAATTGATTACAGATCCTTGCGACATGGGGCTATGCATTATCATGCTGAAACTTGAGGTGATGGCGGCGGATGAATGGCACGACAATGGGCCTCAGGATCTCGTCCCGGTATCTGTGTGCATTCAAATTGCCATCGACAATATGCAATTGTGTTAATCGTCCGTAGCTTATGCCTGCCCATACCATGGGGCACTCTGTTCACAACGTTGACATCAGCAAACTGCTCGCCCGTCATACACGCTGTCTGGTACAGTTGAAACTGGGATTAATCCGTGAAGAGCACACTTCTCCAGCGTGCCAGTGGCCATCAAAGGTGAGCATTTGCCCACTGAAGTCGGTTACGACGCCGAACTGCAATCAGGTCAAGACCCTGGTGAGGATGACGAGCAGATAAGCTTCCCTGAGACGGTTTGTGACAGCTTGCCCAGAAATTCTTTGGTTTTGCAAACCCACAGTTTCATCAGCTGTCCTGGTGGCTTGTCTCAGATGATCCCGCAGGTGAATAGGCCAGATGTGGAGGTCCTGGGCTGGCGTGGTTACATGTGGTCTGCGGTTGTGAGGCCGATTGGACGTACTGCCAAATTCTCTAAAACAACATTGGAGACAGCTTATGATAGACAAATGAACATGAAATTCTCTGGCAACAGCTCCGGTGGACATTCCTGTGGTCAGCATGCCAATTGCACCATACCTCAAAATTTGAGACATCTGTGGCATTGTGTTGTGTGGCAAAACTGCACATTTTAGAGTGGCCTTTTATTGTCTCCAGCACAAGGTGCACCTGTGTAATGATCATGCTGTTTAATCAGCTTCTTGATATGCCACACCTGTCAGGTGAGTGGATTATCTTGGCAAAGGTGAAATGCTCACTAACAGGGATGTAAACAAATTTGTGCACAAAATTTGAGAGAAATAAGCCGTTTGTGCGTATGGAACATTTCTGGGATCTTTTATTTCAGCTCATGAAACCAAACACTTTACATGTTGCCTTTATAGTTTTGTTTAGTGTATCTACTGCTGTTCATATCATTCTTAGTGCATCTTGTAAATTAATCCAGTGAAGATACGTATAGATTACATTTGATTACTGCTACAGTGCTATATGGGTTGTTAATTGGATTAGTTCCGACATTTCTTGATTTCTGTATTATTTTTGTACTTGTTTGACATTTTACTGCATTGTTAGAAGCTAGAAAACATAAGAATTTCACTGCACCCGCTATAACATCTGCTAAACTTACGCCACCCATAAACTTTGATTTAGAAACATTTATTAGGACACAACTTCAAGTGTTAAAATGTTAAATGTTATGGTACTAAACAATACATTTTGATGTACACAAATGAAAGGATAGACAGAAAGAAAATTGGTCCTGAATTTAACTATACCAATATAGTATATATATATAATATAGCTGAAATATAACTGGAGGCAAAGTGCAATGGTGATTATCAACAGCCATAACCATCATAAATACCAGCAGGGTTCTCTCTCTTCTTTTCAACACTGAAGTGATGTGGCCACAACGACACTGGTAATGCTACACAGTTAATTGGCTTTGGTGTCTTTAAGAAACACTTGGTGTCTTAACAATGATTAGGCACATTGTCCGAGCGAACCGAGTGTCATCCATGCAATGTATGCATCTGTTACCCAGCTGCACTTTGAGCTGGCTTCCCAGACTCAGATTAAGTCTATCCCTGGACTTAAAAAACATGCTCATTGGAGAATCTCGGTTGAAGTTGCTTTATAGTCCAGGATGAGGCTTAATCTGGGTTCAGGAAACTGGCGCTAGGAGATTGACACTACACATGAGGTTTAAAAATGGCACATCAAGTTCAACCATGCAAATCAAGCCCTGTATTTGACATATGTTAGCAGTACATACATACATACATACATACAGCGGTTATTGCTTTCATTTTTATACAACATCATAGCTTAGCTTGTCCCCTGCAGTCGAACACCCATTATTTTAATTTCATAGATACAGAGAGAGGGAGTGATCACTCCTTTGCCCTCTTTCCCCATCCCCAGTTTGACTCATTTGGTCTCCATCACGCCATCTTTTATCCAAGGTGCTCAGAGCCATTTCTTTCCACTCTCCATCCAAAACAGTTTGACAACGAGTGACAGGGAGTTGATATGATGGCACAAACAGAATGGGACTCTGGCTAACCTTGCCTAATATTGGTGGGTCGTGGTGGATATTACCGTTGTGTTTTTTGTCATCACATGAGTCTGTTGACGGTGGTGGAGAGGAAGTCTTCATAGCTCATGCGTATGTTTCCCGTCATGGCGGAGTCTTTCTCCCTGAAGGCCTGCGTCATGCTCTGTAGCTGTGTACAGACCTGGATGAAACAGTCCAGCTGCATTGAGCCAGGACGCCCAGACCTCACAGAGTACTTGGCCGCTATAGTCTCAGTGAACTGGGGGCTCAGGTTGTATCCCATCTGGGACAGGGCTGGAGGGAGGGAGAGAGGGAGGTCAACGCTTGTCATGTAAGATATTTGTATTTCCTTTTCAATGTATCACTGTGTTCTGCTTACAGCTGGTGGACTAGTGGTTAAGAGCATTGGGTAAATAACCGAAAGGTTGTTGGTTCGAATCCCTACGCTGACAAAGTGAAACATCTTTCGATGTGCCCTTGAGCAAGGCACTTAGCCCTCATTTCTGGATAAAAGCATCTGCTATGTGACTAAAATGTATTTTTTTTTTTTTTGATGAATCCTAATTCCCACATCACATTTTAACTTGGTTGTGCATTGATGTCAATGGGAGACTAAGTTTAATGTCCACTTAAATGGAAGTTAGGATTCACCCGTTACCGAACACACACACACACACACACACACACACACACACACACACACACACACACACACACACACACACACACACCTCACCTTGGTGTAGCTCAGTGCCACTGATGCAGCCGGAGCGGTCGCGGTCGTACTGCTGGAACAGCTGTCTCCACTGCTGCATGAAGACCCACAGGGCTGAGAACCCAAACAGGTCGATACGACCACACTTGGTCTTGTCAAACATGTCTGGGATAAACAAAGGAACAACATGATTTCATTCACAACAGGTTTACAGCTGAAGACAATATCTTACATGTCTGGGATAAATGACATTCATTCACAGTAGATTTATAGGCTGAAGACAATATCTTACATGTCATTTTTATTTCAGTATGGCTTGTATTGGTTGTGTTGGTTGTATTAATTGTGTTGGTTGTGTTGGGTTGTATGGGTTGTATGGGTTGTATGGGTTGTATGGGTTGTGTTGGTTGTGTTGGTTGTATTGGTTGTGTTGGTTGTGTGGGTTGTATGGGTTGTGTTGGTTGTATGGGTTGTGTTGGTTGTGTGGGTTGTGTTGGTTGTGTTGGTTGTATTGGTTGTGGTTGGTTGTGGTTGGTGTGTGTTTTTGGTTGTATGGTTGTGTGGTTGTGGTTGGTGTTGGTTTGTGGTTTTGTTATGTTGTGTGGGTGTGTTGGGTTGTATTGTGTTGTTGTTTGTTTGTGTATTTGGTTGTGTGGTTTGTTGGTTTGTTGGTTGTTTGGTTGTATTGGTTGTGGTTGTATGGGTTGTGTTGGTTGTTTGGTTGTAGGTTTGGTTGTGTTGGTTGTATGGGTTGTGTTGGTTGTTTGGTTGTTGGTGTTGTGGTTGTTGGTTGTTGTGTTGGTTGTATGGGTTGTGTTGGTTGTGGTTGTTGTTGTTGGGTTGTGTTGGTTGTTGGGTTGTGTTGGTTGTATTGTGTTGGTTGTTGTTTGTTGGTTTGTTGTTTGGTTGTATTGGTTGTATGGGTTGTGGTTGTGTTGGTTGTATGGGTTGTGTTGGTTGTATGGGTTGTGTTGGTTGTATTGGTTGTGTTGGTTGTGTGGGTTGTGTTGGTTGTGTTGGTTGTGTTGGTTGTATGGGTTGTGTTGGTTATATTGGTTGTATGGGTTGTGTTGGTTGGTTGTATGGGTTGTGTTGGTAAAGACACAGGTGGCTACTTTTCTTCTCATGTATGTTATAGATGCTCAAATCAATGCACAAAATACACTGGGTGTAGACTTTACTGTCAAATGTTTGCTTTCCAGCCGGTCCCAACGATGCAGTTAAGAAATTATAATACACACAAAAATAGTAACAAGAGGAATAAAATACAAAAGAATGGAGCTACATACAGGAAGTACCAGATCAATGTGGAGCTATATACAGGAAGTACCAGATCAATGTGCAGCTATATACAGGAAGTACCAGATCAATGTGCAGCTACATACAGGAAGTACCAGATCAATGTGGAGCTGTATACAGGAAGTACCAGATCAATGTGCAGCTATATACAGGAAGTACCAGATCAATGTGGAGCTATATACAGGAAGTACCAGATCAATGTGCAGCTATAAACAGGAAGTACCAGATCAATGTGCAGCTATAAACAGGAAGTACCAGATCAATGTGGAGCTACATACAGGAAGTACCAGATCAATGTGCAGCTACATACAGGAAGTACCAGATCAATGTGCAGCTACATACAGGAAGTACCAGTACCAGATCAATGTGGAGCTATATACAGGAAGTACCAAATCAATGTGGAGCTATATACAGGAAGTACCAGATCAATGTGGAGCTATATACAGGAAGTACCAGTACCAGATCAATGTGGAGCTATATACAGGAAGTACCAGTACCAGATCAATGTGGAGCTATATACAGGGAGTACCAGAACCAGATCAATGTGGAGCTATATACAGGAAGTACCAGATCAATGTGGAGCTATATACAGGAAGTACCAGTACCAGATCAATGTGGAGCTATATACAGGAAGTACCAGGCCCAGATCAATGTGGAGCTACAGTGAGGGAAAAAAGTATTTGATCCCCTGCTGATTTTGTAAGTTTGCCAACTGACAAAGAAATGATCAGTCCATAATTTGAATGGTAGGTTTATTTGAACAGTTAGAGACAGAATAACAACAAAAAAATCCAGAAAAACGCATGTCAAAAATGTTATAAATTGATTTGCATTTTAATGGAGGGAAATAAGTATTGGACCCCCTCTCAAGCCGAAAGATTTCTGGCTCCCAGGTGTCTTTTATACAGGTAAAGAGCTGAGATTAGGAGCACAATCTTGAAGGGAGTGCTCCTAATCTCAGTTTGTTACCTGTATAAAAAGAAGAAGCAATCAATCAATCAGATTCCAAACTCTCCACCATGGTCAAGACCAAAGAGCTCTCCAAGGATTATTTTGTATATATATATATATATATATATATATATATTTTTTTTTTTTCATTTAGCCAGCGCTCTTATCCAGAGCAACTTACGGGAGCAATTAGGGTTAAGTGCCTTGCTCAAGGGCACATCGACAGATTTTTCACCTAGTCGGCTCGGGGATTAGAACCAGCGACCTTTCGGTTACTGGCACTATGCTCTTAACCACTAAGCTACCTGCCGCCCTAGGGACAAGATTGTAGACCTACACAAGGCTGGAATGGGCTACAAGACCATCGCCAAGCAGCTTGGTGAGAAGGTGACAACAGTTGGTGCGATTATTCGCAAATGGAAGAAACACGAAATAACTGTCAATCTCCCTCGGCCTGGGGCTCCATGCAAGATCTCACCTCGTGGAGTTGCACTGATCATGAGAACGGTGAGGAATCAGCCCAGAACTACACGGGAGGATCTTGTTAATGATCTCAAGGCAGCTGGGACCATAGTCACCAAGAAAACAATTGGTAACACACTATGCCGTGAAGGACTGAAATCCTGCAGCGCCCGCAAGGTCCCCCTGCTCAAGAAAGCACATATACAGGCAGTCTGAAGTTTGCCAATGAACATCTGAATGATTCAGAGGAGAACTGGGTGAAAGTGTTGTGGTCAGATGAGACCAAAATGGAGCTCTTTGGCATCAACTCAACTCGCCGTGTTTGGAGGAGGAGGAATGCTGCCTATGACCCCAAGAACACCATCCCCACCGTCAAATATGGAGGTGGAAACATTATGCTTTGGGGGTGTTTTTCTGCTAAGGGGACAGGACAACTTCACCGCATCAAAGGGAAGGTGGACGGGGCCATGTACCGTCAAATCTTGGGTGAGAACCTCCTTCCCTCAGCCAGGGCATTGAAAATGGGTCGTGGATGGGTATTCCAGCATGACAATGACCCAAAACACAAGGCAACAAAGGAGTGGCTCAAGAAGAAGCACATTAAGGTCCTGGAGTGGCCTAGCCAGTCTCCAGACCTTAATCCCATAGAAAATCTGTGGAGGGAGCTGAAGGTTCGAGTTGCCAAACGTCAGCCTCAAAACCTTAATGACTTGGAGAAGATCTGCAAAGAGGAGTGGGACAAAATCCCTCCTGAGATGTGTGCAAACCTGGTGGCCAACTACAAGAAACGTCTGACCTCTGTGATTGCCAACAAGGGTTTTGCCACCAAGTACTAAGTCATGTTTTACAGAGGGGTCAAATACTTATTTCCCTCATTAAAATGCGAATCAATTTATAACATTTTTGACATGCGTTTTTCTGGATTTTTTTGTTGTTATTCTGTCTCTCACTGTTCAAATAAACCTACCATTAAAATTATAGACTGATCATGTCTTTGTCAGTGGGCAAACATACAAAATCAGCAGGGGATCAAATACTTTTTTCCCTCACTGTATATACACAGGGAGTACCAGATCAATGTGGAGCTATATACAGGGAGTACCAGTACCAGATCAATGTGGAGCTATATACAGGGAGTACCAGTACCAGATCAATGTGGAGCTATATACAGGGAGTACCAGATCAATGAATGGCGCCGGAGAAGATGGCTGCCGTTTTACAGCCCTCTAACCAATTGTACTATTATGTGTGTTTTTTCGCGTTTTTTGTAATTTATTCTGTACATAATGTTTCTGCCACCGTCTCTTATGACCAAAAAGAGCTTCTGGATATCAGGACAGCGATTACTCACCTCGTATTGTACGAAGATTTTTTCTTCAACGAGTCAGATGTGAAGGATATCATACAGACACCCGACAAGGCCCAAATCCCCACCATTCGCAGGAGAAAGAGACGGTAGATATCGTGGACGTAGATCGTGGTGCCTTGTAAGGATCCGACGGTGAGCGAGTAAACTGCCTCTTCCATCAATCCTATTAGCCAATCTTCAATCATTGGATAACAAATTGGACGACCTAAGATTACGGTTATCCTACCAACGGGACATTAAAAACTGTAATATCTTATGTTTCACAGAGTCGTGGCTGAACGACGACATGGATAACATACAGCTGTCGGGATATACGCTACATCAGCAGGATAGAACGGCTGACTCCGGTAAGAGAAGGGGTGGCGGTCTGTGTATATTTGTAAACAACAGCTGGTGCACAAAATCAAATACTAAGGAAGTGTCAAGGTTTTACTCGCATGAGGTAGAGTATCCTTATGATAAGCTGTAGACCACACTATTTACCAAGAGAGTTTTCATCTATATTTTTTGTAGCTGTCTATCTACCACCACAAACCGATGCTGCCACTAAGATTGCACTCAATTAACTGTATACGGCCATAAGCAAACAGGAAAACGCTCATCCAGAGGCAGCGCTCCTAGTGGGCGGGGACTTTAATGCAGGGAAACTTAAATCCGTTCTACCTCATTTCTATCAGCATGTTAAATTTGCAACCAGAGGGAAAAAAAAAAAACTCTAGACCACCTTTACTCCACACACAGAGACGCATACAAAGCTCTCCCTCGCCCTCCATTTGGCAAATCTGACCTTAACTCTATCCTCCTGATTCCTGCTTATAAGCAAAAACTAAAGTAGGAAGCACTAGTGACTCGGTCAATAAAAAAGTGATCAGATGACGCGGATGTTAAGCTACAGGACTGTTTTGCTAGCACAGACTGGAATATGTTCCGGGATTCTTCAGATAGCATTGAGGAGTACACCACATCAGTCGCTGGCTTCATCAATAAGTGCATCGATGACGTCGTCCCCACAGTGACCGTACGTACATACCCCAACCAGAAGCCATGGATTACAGGCAACATCCGCACTGAGCTAAAGGATA